GAACACCAATCAAATGTGTGACATCCTTTGAAGTTGTTATTTGAACTTCACCTAATGAAGAAAAAAGAAATTGTTAAGCAATACTCATAATTTAAAATTATAATTAAATAAGTGACATGTTTATTTTCGAGAAAAACAAATAAAAATAAATTACCATTCCAAGGCTTTGCACGACACATTTGTATGACTAAGACAAATGGTTGATTGGCTTCCACATAGTAATTCTCGAAAGCAATAAATTGATCCACATACGCTCCCCAAACGGTACATGTCATAGTAAGTCCACTAAAAATAATAAAATATAATAAATTTAATAAGAAGCTATAAAAGTCGAGAGCAACTTTAAACAAAATAAATTGAAACAACTAACCCCAAATCCATAAGACTAAAATTAATCATTTGGGTCGGGCCACTCTTCACATTTTTGATTTGAATTGGATGGGTCTCCACCACCAACCCAATAACATCTACACAAGATAAATTTTATGAGAATTTATTAATATACATAAATTCATAACTAACAAATTTAAACATAATAAATAAGTAGATTCTTACGAATATAAAATTATTTATAGGACTTACCAAACAAAATTGCTTCGTCGACGTTGTCTATATCACGCAAAGTGAGAAATTCTCTAAAAGAGAATCGATAGAGTGGAAATGATGTCTTGAGTTTAAAGAATTTGGTTTCCCTATGAAGAATGATCCGAAATTTGCCAATAGTTGATTTGTAAATGCCTATGTTACTCTCCACTTGATAATGATTGAAGGCATAAGCTTCTCCATCCTTAAGCTCGTCAATGAAATGAGATATGTGAACGGGCCTTATGAGACCGGTTATCCTATCACCTACAAAAAAAAAAGAATTACAATAATATATAAAAAAAATAAAAACACGTAAATTGATAATAATAAATTAATAATAATAGACTTTTGTGACAAACCTCATTATCATGGAAAATTAACTCAAGCACTTTTTTGTTAGAAAAATTCTCGGAAGTTCTTTGAAACATGCGAATAATACGAAGCTTGAGGAATGGCCTATTAGACCTCTTGATATCCTTGATCAAACCCCATGTTTGAGTCATTTTCTTAATCTCACTAATAAAAAAGAAAAGAGTATGATTTGCTTCGTGTTGCTTGAATGAAAAATAACATGCAATGCATTATTCTTTTATAGTGAAAGTTACGTGATTAAAATTGTTAAGTAGATAAATGCAAATTGTTTTGGAGATTTACTTTAATTTCCTAATGATAATAAGATTTATTTTAGTACAATATTTTTTAATAGATGCGTGTGTGAGTTATTTTCGTGTGCAATAGTTATGGAATGATTTTGTGAAGATATATACAAATCATCGACAAAACAACGTGACCAACAATTTTTAAGTGATTTAGTTTATTAATCTGCTAATGATAATTAAAGTTGTTTGAGATTTATTAATTTCCTAATGACAATCAGACGAAATCTTTTAAATATTTTAGTTGTCAAACTTGTTTGATATTTATTAATTCCAATGATCGGACAGAATATTTCTATGCAAATATTTTAGATATTTTAGTTAGAGAATCGGATTGATTAGACGAAATATGCAAATAATTTAGAGATTTATTTATTTCCTAAACTTCCGATTTGTTTGAGTGCAAATATTGTTTAATAAACAGCGTGAGCGTGATTATAGTGTGAAATAATTATGGACTAATCAATGTTAAGATATCTTCAAATAATTGACCAAAACATCTAACCAAATCTGTAAGTGATAAAAAAAATCGGATTGTACAATTAGATAACTCCATGTAAATCTATTAACATATTTATATATTAACATTGATTAGGATGTTTGTTCCCATCCTCATCTATTAACATATTTATCTCAATATTTAACTCATCTATTGGATATCTAAATTATTAATCGAAAAAAATCGGACTTTTATAACATGATGAATATTTAAACGAAAATTTTAAAAATCAAATTGTTTTCATTGATTTAAATAAGATAAATATTGAGTAGAATTTGATAAGTCATAGTAAATCTATTAACATATTTATCTTTTAACATTGATTAGGATGTTTGTTATATAAAATCTATTAACATATTTATCTTAATATTTAACTATTTTGATTGATATCTAAAATGCTAATCGAAAAAAATGTGGTATTTTATAACAGTATGAATATTTAAAATAAAATTGTAAAACTGTAACTGTTGTTTTGTATCTCAATATTAAATTTTTTTAATAAATATCTAAATTATTAATTATTATTATTAATCTATAAAAAATGTGGTAATTTTAAATTGTATGAATATATATTCGAAATTTGTGAAAAACAAAGTTTTGTTTTGATTTAAATCGGATAAATATTGTTTAGATTGTTAGTTATATCAAATCTTTTTAACATATTTATAAATTGTCGAAAAATTGGTAATGACAATCAACATTTAAGTTTTAATTCATTAATAATAATTAGTTTATTTTTTATTATACCAAAAATTAGTTGATATTTGTAGAGGTCATTTTAAAATACAATAATCAATCGAATTGGAAAATAAATTGAATTGAATAATAAAGGAAAACATAATACTCATAATTTTATTATCAAATCCTAGCAATGCCATACAATAAAATTATTAAACAGCTCGAATTAAAATTTTAATATAACAATTTCATAGTTTCCTAAAAAATACATGCAATAATCTTCATAATCTCGGAACCTTCATTATTGAATGAAAAATCTTCATAATCTCGGAACCCTCATTAGTGATGAGGAAAATTTGCATCGTACGTTAATACATTTGTCTTTGGATGAAGCACAAGCATCCATTTGTGGCCGGTTGTATTGATCCTCGTATTATTGAATTCAACATTGTAGTTGTGGATTGCATAAACTTTGCCTTCTTTAAACACATCTCGATATAATCCCATGCTTCGAGAACGGATGATGCCATTTATGCGTGAACCCTACAATAAAAATTTATACAATTAACAAAAATCATTTATATAATTTATAAATATTTATGCGTGAACCATACAATAAAAATTTATACAATTAAATAAACAATTGAAATGCTTACATTTTCGTAATGAAACAGGATTTGCATATTGTTCTTGGACTGCAGCTCGAAATTCGATTCAAGAATGTTGACTACTCTTAATGTCAAATCCGGTTGGGTTGCCCTATTGACGTCCCCGAGTGTACCAGAGAATCGTGCCATCTACTTTTTTTTTTCTGTGTGTCTCGAAATATCTGTGTGTATTTTTTTCTATGCACCTTTGGAGAAGGTGATAAACAAATGGATTTATATAGGTAGGATTTTATTATGTTTTGCGTGTGTTTTTTTTATTAAGATTAGGATATCTACAAATAAGTGGCATAAAAATCTGACCAAATCTTAAATGATAAATGAATAATATTATCATCATCCCATAATAACGTGAGCATCCAATAATAACGCGAGTATTTAGCCGCTGAAAATCAGTAAAATGACTTCCAAAATTTTCGAATTGAATGGGCGGGGACATATTCATTTTTCGTCAAAAATTATGCTAAACTTTAGGCGGGAATTGAAATCTTTTTTTTGCTGATTTTTCACTTGATTTTTTAAAAAAACTATCATTCCCTCTTTATATATTAATAGATTCACTAAAAATGAGTTTTTTTTTGTTAACTATGGTTAATTTTAAAAAATGTGATATGGTTAGTTGTTAGTGGGATTTTGAATTTATATTAAAATAATATTTAAAATATAATAATTAAAATTAATTTGATGTAAAAGTAAGAGAGAGATGATGTGAAGTCATAGTTAAATATATGTGAATGGATGAATAGGGAATTGAAGTTGATATGTATGAATAAATTAAAGATAGTGAGATTGAGTTAAAGTTGAGTTAGGTTTTGAGTATGAAATAAATGTGAGTGGAATATTTTGTAAACAAGCACCCCTTAGTGTCTCATGTGGTCCTAGACTTTTGTGTAGAAAATCATCTCCAGTGTAAACAAAATGAAACTAAGTATAGTTAATTTGACCTTAGATTAAATCTCTTTTCGGATCCATTGTTGAGATATGGCAATAAACTCAATGAGTAAGCATGAAAGTAATTATTTTAATGAATTTTTACATATATTTGTGGTATGCTTCATTTTAGATCAAACTTTTTAAAATACTGCATTGGAGTAAATATGATATATTTTTTTACTTATGCTTGTGGACACCATTAAAGACCTTAGTCTATTACTTTAACAACAATGGAAGAAAAAAATGAACTTTAAGCAACTTAATAAATGCAAGAGAAGAAAATATTAGGATAGAGAATACAACAACAACAACATAGCCTTTTAGTCCCAAGCAAGTTGGGGGTAGGCTAGAGATGAAACTCAAGAGAATCAATGGTAAGAGAAACACAAAAAGGGCTCAAAACAAAAGGAAGAAATTGGAGCAAAAGAGAAAGGAGCAAAAGTCACGGTTCTGGCACGTTGATTGCTAGCCTTCAAGCGCTCCTATCCACCGCTAAATCCTTTGAGATATTCCAATCTTTAAGGTCTCTCTTAACCGACTCTTCCCAAGTGAGTTTAGGCCGACCTCTACCTCTCTTTACATCATCGACCCGCTGTAGAACTCCCCTACGCACCGGTGCATCAGGAGGCCTCCGTTGGACATGTCCGAACCACCTCAGCCGATGTTGAACCAATTTCTCCTCAATTGGAGCCACCCCGACCCTATCTCGAATATCCTCATTCCGGATTCTATCCCTTCTTGTGTGCCTGCAAAACCAACGCAACATACGCATCTCTGCTACACTTAGTTGTTGGACATGTTGCCTTTTTGTAGGCCAACATTCAGCACCCTAAAGCATCGCCGGGCAAATCGCCGTCCTATAGAACTTACCTTTTATCCTTTGTGGCATCCTCTTATCACAGAGAACGCCCGAAGCTTGACGCCATTTCAACCAACCGGCTGCAATTCTATAAGATATTAAGATAGAGAATACAGGCGAAAATAATGCTCCTAGATTTTCTGCGCCTGAAGACAACCTTGTTTCCAAAAGCTATGATGTTTATTTCTCAATGGGTCCTAATACGTATACATCATTTGATTAAAAACTTTAGATCTTTCACTTTCAACTGCCCAACCAACGAGGGAGAGGGAAGCCTGTAGATTTGGCGTTGTAAAGGAGGGCAAATGAGAAACGACTTTTGGAAGCAGCACCGCCAGGGGGTGCCAATTTGTGCATCTATGGTTGAAAAATGTGGTGTCTGCGGGTGAAGACAGAAAAGAAATTGAAAAAAGACGAAAGGAAAGAAAGAGAAAGAGAAAAACATGTAACTCTTAGCCGAACGCCTGCCGCCATTGTCGGTTGCGGAGCATCACCGGAATTATGTTGCCTCAGCCAGTTGAAGAGACGAAACAACGTAATTTAGGCTTTTGTTAGAGAAAGTAGAAGTAACTGAGAAATATTAGTGAAGGACCATAACCTAATAACTTAAATTGCATCTGGGTGCTCGGGGTGACACTGAGGTGTCGTCCCACGTGAGGCAAGCGCCTTGATGGAGTCTTTAACACGTGAGCCTCACTACAACTTTTCGAGGCGACTAGGTCTTGCCTTGCTATCACCTCACGCCATGGCTTTTCCTGGTCCTATTTCTACAACAGTACCTGCTGGCAGTTTGGGCATTCGAAGTAGCAAGTTCGATATCTGGCTAAAAGTTATTTTTTTGAAGCCTTCTATTGGGTGATTATATGATTGAAAATGTTGATAACGAATGACCTACATGAAAATAATTTTATTGATATTTCTGTGGTAATTCTAATATATATGGTTGAATGGTTCTTTGTAAAAATTTTATAGACGTCCTGGATGAATGATGATACTACGCTATGATTTGAATAGAGGAAATAATTATTTTTTTTCATAGAATTTGGTTGTGTTTCATAAATTGTTTCATAAATCCTGTGTAACACATAGGTGTTAGACTTATATATATGTGCGTGTTTTTGTTTGTGTGTTTTATATATGAAAGATGAAATAAAACAACTAAATAATATGTAACTGGAAATTCAGGATATTAAAGTGCCAAGCATGATTATGTTGAACTTAACAATACAAATATATAGTAGCCATCTGTTGCGTGAATAGTTAGTTTTTGTCTCTTTGTGTCGGATATCTCTGAACAATTATATACTTTGCTGTCTAGTTGCGTGGAAGAGTGGGCCGAGCAGATAAACAGGCTCACGCGTACTTATTTTACCCGGATAAGTCACTGCTTTCTCATCTGGCACTTGTACGTTCTTCAATTTTTCTACCATCTGCTTGAACACAACACAGCAGGTATAAGAGTCCTTTTATGCTGCTCATGTCTTTGCTAATACATTTTCTTTCCCTTATTTCACCTTTCTGCAGTTGTTTCTGCCTTTGTTATTTCTTTAGTATTGTCAATTGTTTCTTATTTCTTATAACAGAATAAAACAATAAGAACAATATTCCACTTCCTTACTTCGTCTAAAATAACATTTTCATTTTACCCTTCAGGAGCGGCTTGCTGCTCTAGAAGAATGTCGAGATCTTGGACAAGGTTTTCAACTTGCAGAAAGAGACATGGGCATTAGAGGCTTTGGGAATATCTTCGGAGAGCAGCAAACAGGGGATGTTGGAAATGTTGGGATTGATCTTTTCTTTGAAATGCTTTTTGAGAGTCTGTCCATGGTATGCAGGTCCTCAAATTATTTTTCATAATGGTTGCTTATATATATAGACATCATGCTAAAATCATGTCTTCTAATCTTCTGACGATTTACTTGTCAAAGTACTGCAGTTCGTAACAATATCCTTAAACTCCCTATGCATGTATCCTTCTTTTCAGAGTTGAATTTTGTTTTTTTGAACTTCCAGGTAGATGAACACCGTTTAGTCTCCGTCCTTTACCATTCAGTGCAAGTATTGCTTACTTTTAACATGACGTCACAGAAAAAGATATTTTCATGTCAAAGCCTTTTATGCTATGCTCCAACGTGTAAGTCCATGATCATTTTAGTTGTATCTCCTATGTGGTTTCTTGAGTTTTTGAATTATTATTTTTAGCACTACTATTTTGTATTAGTGTCTTGGGACTGAAACTGGTGCTTTTAGGAGTGTTCAGGATATGTGTAGTGCAGATGTATATCTAACTATTCCGGAAGTATTGCTACATCAGAGAATTGAGATAGAAGCTTTCTCTAGAAGTTTTATCTGGAAACTCTGATTTTCGCAATCTAACCAATAGTTCTCAAAAGATTCATTGCTACGAATATCTTTAAAAAGAGAACATGATCTATTGTGCTTGTGGTAGTTTATTACGATAACACAGGTTTTTATATTTATTCTGGCATGATGTTTATGCAACCGTTTGAGGATCAACAATAAAATGAAGATTGGCTTTTTGATTGTCATTGTCCGCACTAAAAATATGACAAATTATTCAAAGAAAATTCAATTTACAGCTGAGGAAGGAGTTTGTTAAACTTAAAGATTAGAGTTTTGACTTCTTCACCAACAGAAAGATTCTATATTGTCAATGGCAAAGGTTTAGTGTTGTTGGACCATACGAAGTGATAATTACTTTCAAAATAAAAGAATTGAAAACTTGAAATGTACAACTATGAACTAAACCCAGAAAACTAAGATACTGATTCATTCATTCATTTTGTTTGATCTGTCATTAAATACTGGGAGCTTTGGCAAAACCTGTTCCTTGTCCACCTGTTCACTTTCACTTCAAATATGCATTGAATTTAATAGATAAACAAATTTTTGATGACTTCGAAATTTTGAATTAGGAATATCAACGCAATTCATGATCCTACTATTTCTATTCCTGTGCAGTTTGATCTCGATTTGAACCCCCATCTCCCTTCTGAATACATAAATCATATGGACAATCCCTTGGAAATAATTAATGAAGCAGAGAATGCTGATCAAAGAGACATCTGGAATCTAGTTCTCTTTACTGAGGATCTGCGCCGCCATTATGGAAAAGAGCCTTACTCCATGGAAATTCTTTTGAAGAAGCTATATATAAGAAGAATGGCGGCAGATTTAGGAATTACTGAAATATACACTTCAGGTAAGATGGTGGGCATGAAAACAAGCATGAGTGAAAAGGTTTTCAAGATGATGAAGGATTCAATGCCATCTGAAACACACCGAAGCTCCATTGTCTTCGAGGATGGTTCAATCAAGGTATGTCATACTTTTTGTTTTCAGTCATCAAGTATGCTAGGTGTACATCATTTGATGTATGTACTGAGAGTACACTCACATGGAGTGGTGAGTTGCTTAATAAAATATTTGAGGGGGCCCTCATGTGAGTGTACAAACACCATGATGTAAATGAGATTATGTGAACATAGTAAAATCCTTAGTTATTTGTTATTAAAGGATAAGTAGAAGAGTTGAATCTCCCAGGTCTTCTTGTTGTTTATTCAAGTACTTAATATTGTTGGAATTGTTGCAACGTCTAGGTTTGTAGCACAAGGTTAAATGTGAGGTTACATATATTTGCTTTTGGGCAAGTTAGTTCAGGATCACACTCTCTATAGTCATGTCTTCTTGATTTTTGTCATCTTTTGAGTTCATTAGTTGAATATGTGCCAATAATTATATACAAGTGTATCTTCTTTTAAGTTCATACGTTTACTAGTTCTCATAGATTTGCATGTACTTGATTTGTTGAAATCTGGAAGGTATTGCAAATGCCTTATACATTTTACTAGCTCTCATAAATAAGGGTATGTACTATCTCATATTCAATTATGTCACTCCTTTAGGCTGAGCTACTTCTGGAATTACCAAGAGAACAGTTGCTGGAGTGGATTTTTCGTTGCTTAGCCGAACTCTATGCATCACTACCCGCGTTGATAAAATACTAAATTGAAGTGGAATGTAGTAGTTTCCCACACTGGAAAGCCCTATTTTGCACCCTGCAAACTTCGTTTAGGGGTCTCAGCTCTAAAAACTTTGGTCAAGGGTCTTTGCTGAATCATCTGCTTCTTCACGACAATTAGTGAACTTGCAGGCATCTACGAATGAGAATCCATTGTAGATATGGCAAACCCTCACGCACATATATAAACGATATATTGATAATAACATAAAGCACTATATTGGATTGTGAACTTCCATTTTGAGGTATGGCATCGTTTAACCAGATATACCTTTCTTAGGTTTCGGGGTTTTTTTTTTGTCCTCGTCAGAGTTGAGTAAACAAAATGTATGATTTTCTTTTTTGTTGTACAGAATCTCGTGGGGTATGTAATCCGGTTGCCATGAAGCATAAACGATCATTTCAGGAAGGGGCTCGACTGTGGTTGTGCTCGTTTCAAACTTTTAAGTGCATATGAATGTCCAAACAGGTAAAAATCTTAAAGCAGTAACTTGGCCACTGGCAAACAGGTCACCCAAAAGGCACGGCTTTGGCATTTGCGTAGACTTGACTGACAAATAAGTACTGTGAAATCTCCAAGGCATGGCAATAATTTGTGATGTTTACGAGGTCAATCTACCATCATTTGAGTTGTACCGTGGTGGATATTTTGCTCCTGTTTTCTCAAAAGCTTATTATTATAAGTTAATATCTAGTTGTGTTATAATGAAACCGCATTTCATGAGTTATTAGAAATTTAGCTAATATTATTTATATATGTTTTATGGGATCATATGAACTAAAACAATCAAAAAATAATAATGGTAAAAAAGTAAAAAATTATAAATAATGGTAAAAGAGCACAAAAAAAACTTTTTTTCATCCATTACACCGCTATTTATGTATAGTAACAATTTTTTATAATAAAATTTGAGTTTTGTGATAAAAACTGAGACGACCAAAAATTGTGAATAATGGTACACATGAAAATGCGAAAATTAAAATTCATAAATAATAGTAAAATAGCCTTAAAAAACTTTCTTTCACCACGTTAAACCACAATTTTGTAAGTATATATCAAACTTGGATGGTACAAATTTGGCCCTTATGTATATAAGAAACTTTGATGGTACAAAATTTAGTTTTAAGATGATAAATAAAGCGTCCAAAAAGTGTGAATTAGTACACTCAAATGAATTACGGCATGTATAGTGGTAAAAGGGAGTTTTTTTATTATTCTGTGTGATGAATGACCTTGTGCATTAAATTTAGTCTCTAGCAAGTTTATAGATTATTCGAGATGTTCTCGTCTTATTAATTTAATAAGATAAATAAATTGTATAGTAGATGTGCTCATCTACTTATCGTGATCTCGAAATTATCGAATTATTCGACAATATAAATTCGTTCGATTTTTCCAAGTCCGAGTACGATTTTTGTGAACCGTTGTTTATCGAATTTTGTTCAATTCTTGGCAAACATGACCTTGGTAAATAAAGATTGTAACCACGTTTTCCATTAGCTTCTATTTCATTTTTCGGCCATATTGTTTCTAAGTGCCGAGAGTCCATATTTTGAAGCTCAAAAATCAAGTTTTGCAACTTCCTTTTTATGCTTTGATTTGGTCTTTATTATAAATTTCTTTCGTCATCCAATTGTCAAGAGTTACTAGTATGAGACTCTGTGCCATTGCACATATGTAAATAAATATTATACGTTATTTATATGCATATAATATTGAAATTATACGTTATATAATAGTATTATATTTTAAACATAGAGTATTGTAAGTTATATTTATGCATATGAATAATTTAGATACCATTATTATGTTTTACAATTTGATCATTGGTTAAAATAAATAGTATATAACAATTTGATTGCATATGAATCACTATATTGATTGCATAAAATGTAACAAATAATGTAATTTTTTGTAATTTTGGGGGATCATGACTAATTAGTTAGCTGAAAAATATTAAATTTATTATAACAATTGCTTATGCGATGTTAAGAATTTTACTATGACATTAATTTTAGAATAAATAAAAATATATAATATTAATTTTAGAATAAATAACTTGAACAAAAAAATTTTGCAATATAATCTTTTATGTTTATGTAACTTCATATATCATTTAGTGTAAAAAAAAATTACTAATTTTAATAATAACTATTATATGATTCAATAAAAAAAATATAATTATTACTCAATTAATATAAAATGTAACGGTTTTTGTCTTAATTAACCCAAAAAAAAGTGTAATGAAAATTTTATCATTAATGGGATATGGTGGATTACTGGTTTGAAGTGAGTAATATAATCAGATGCACTATCTTTTGTACTTTTTAAAGTTTAAGCCATTGTTATACACACACACACACACACACACACACACATATATATATATATATATATATATATATATATATAAAGGATCATATGAGAATGGTAGATAATGAAAGAAATAAGAAATATTATGGATCATTGGATCAGTACGATCAATGGACATCATTAAGTCAAAATTGATTTAAGAGATCAAAATTGTAGTGGCAAATCTGTAAATATGTGTTTATATCATGAACAAATAAATAGCTAGGACATTGGTGTAATTTAATCCAACACTAAATTAAGTGGGCCCCACACGAAACTAATGCCAACAACCACTCTCTCCTCTCTCCTCTCTCCTCTCTCCTTTCTCCTCTAAATTAAGTGGACATTGAAATAAATAATAATAAAAAATAATAGTATTTTTTATGTAGTTCGACCGTTCGATTATTTCGATTATCAAATAACTATAAAATATAAAAATTAATATTTTTTATTTCGGTTATTTGAATAAAAAAATAACATCATATCGAAATAACCTATATATAAAAAAATATTAATAATAATATTCGAACCAAAACATAAAAGTTTGTTGGATATCATTTATTTTGTGCAGTATAATAGATATTTATGTGCAATTCGTATAACCATAATATGCACTTTCAATACATACAAATTATGTGTAGAAAAATATTATCGAATTTCATAAAAAACATAAATAAATAAAAAATCGGTAATATTTTTTCATATAGTTCGACATATTCAGTTATTTTGTTTATTTAAAAAAACTAAATTTGATCTTTAACCAACTAATATTATTTGATTGATTAGCATAATTACTATAATTTTTAGTTGTAATTTTTGGTAGGTGCAACGCGTTATTTTATAAGGTGCAACATGTTGTGTTATAAGTTGCAATGTAATATTGTATATACAATGCAACCTATTGATACGCAATACTGAAATTTTGATAAGTTTGCATGTTTTTTTGTTTTCCTTTTTTCTTTTTTTTTTTTTTTTTTATAATTTATCTATTATTATATATTATTTTTATATTAATTTGATATTTTTAAAATATAAAAAATGAATAATTTCGGTTTCGTTCAATAGGGTGCAATCTAATAGTCACTAATATGCAACTCGTATAACTTTAATGTGCAATGTTATACATAAATATAAAAAAAGTTAACAACAATATTTTTATATTGTTCGGTCTGTTAGGTTAAATTAAAAATAAAGCCGAACTATATAAAAAATACATAAAAATTATTATTTTTTTATAAAAAAAATTATAATTTAGTACTTGAGGTGAATATGTAATTTAATACATGCACAATAATAGTAAATATTATTTTAAGTAAAAAATTTACAAAAAAATATTATTTGTTTATATAACTTGGTCAGTTAAGTTATTTCGATTATTTTAAAAATTAAATATGAAAATTGAACTGAAATAACTAAAATTTAAAGGTAAAAATAATATAAAAAAATACTATTTTTTTTATATAACCTAGTTCGCTCGGTTTCGATCGGTATGGTGCAATCTCGCAGTCATTAATGTGCAATTCGTCTAACGCTAAGGTGCACTCGAAGTGCATATTTTTTTAATAATTTATCTTAAACCAAACTAAATCCAAAATATATTTAGTATTTTAATATTTTTATTGAATATCTGCCATGGCAGCATTTCGTGCCAAGGAAGATGAAATCGAGAGGAAGAAAACACAGATGAGCGGGAAAATTAAAGCTCAGTTGGGACGTGTGGAGGAAGAAGCTAAGCGCCTCGCTGGAATTCATGCAGTAAGTCTGCAAATTTATCATTAGTACTTTTGCGTTTGTATGAGCATAGGATTTCAAGAATTGGGGCTTTGTGGCTATGTAAGAACAAATCAGATCTGAACAAGTGTTTGCTAAGTTAGATCTGGACAAGTATTTGCTCTCGATTCGTCTCTAGTTGAATTATGAAGATTTCTTGCCAAAATCATCAAAAGGATTTTTTGCTGTAAGAGTTGAGTACAATGTCGGGGAAGAAAGGTGGAGTCGTTTCTGTGGATTTTTTGCTGTAAGAGTTGAGTACAATGTCGGGGAAGAAAGGTGGAGTCGTTTTTAGTGCAGAAGGGTAATGTAGTCTTTGCCTTCTTTATCGTCTTAATTAATCCATGAAAGTAAATGAGGGATTTTTTTAGGTAAATTCCATCCCGAAAAGTAAACAAGGGATTAAATGCTAACGTGGAAAGTGGCCTTGATTATTTTGTCTTATCCCATCCTGCAAAGTAAATGACCCCAAAAAGGTTTAGGTGAGTTTTTGACACCTTTATAGTATAATGCCCTTATTTTTATATCCTTTTGAGTTGTTTTGCAAAAATCAAAATGTTAGCATTTAACCACCAAGCTTACAAGCACTTATAAAAAGAAATTAAATCAATTACATATATAAAGTAAAAACAATTATGTAAATCAATTTTATCTATTATTATGTAAATACTATATAAAAAAACAACATTAAGTAGATTAAATAAAATAAAAATAAGATGACAAAATAAACTAATATGATAAAATTAAATTGAAATAATAAAAACTGAATTAACATATAAAAATAAGCTAAATAATAATTAAAATAAATAAATAATAAAATAAAATATTATAAATAGAGTTAAATATGAAATAAAACAAATTAGGCAAATCTCAATAAAATAAAATAAGGTAAATTTAAGGTAACATTTGTATGATAAACCAAATAATTATTAAAACAAAATAAGTTAAATGAATTTAATTAATAAATAAAATAAATTTGGTATCAACTAGATCGTTTTTTGGGCCTGCTTTAGGTTTTAGGTTTTAGGGTTTTAGGGCTCAGGGTTTGGGGCTCGGGGTTCCGGGTTCAGGGTTTATGGTTTAGGGTTTGGGATTGTGGGATGAGGAGGAAAACTAGTTTGATTTCGGTGCTTATTTTTGGTAAACTATCACGATGGATTTAAATCCTCAAACTGTTGAATGAATAAATTGACTGTTTCATCTTTTAGATATTTCCGTTTATTTATTTATTTTCTATTTTTGGTTCTAAGTCTAGGTTTATCAAATTTTTAATATAGGTTATTATTTTTTTTTTATTGGAACGAAAGAGATATTATATCAAACCTCAAAAGAGAACAAAGTTCTAATACAAACACGACCCACAGCCGAAAAAGAAAACTGAGAGGACACGCTATAGAGCGGCCTAGAAATCCAATAGACGGGATATGACCCCCACAGGGTAAAACACAAGAGCACTAAAAAACACAAAAGACAATACAAAGGCCCCCACAGGGTAATCCCGAGTGTCGGGCCCCCACGGGGTAATTAGGTGACACCCGCGCGCACAGGGGCCAACGGCCCAAACCTAAAACACAAAGAACAAACACAAACACAGACACAGACATCACAAGACACTAATAACAAATAATAAAATAACATAATAGCCCTTCCTCGGCAAAAGAACGGTTCCAACCAGCGATGAACGATCGACTCAGGGAAGAAGATTCCAAGCCAGAGAAAACACTACCGAAACTGCACAAATGCCTATACAGTAGCCGAACTCGAGCCCCGAACCAATCCCCGAATCAACCCATCTCCAATCGAGAGAGAATCGACCAGCCCCCACACCCCCCCCCACACCCACCCGGCCCGTCTAACACCACTAGCCGAGTCCAGGGTCCCTCACCGTCTAACACCACTAGCCGAAACAGGGGCGGGTGAGGGTGGTTCGGTCCCTCAACCCCGACTGCCACAACCAGAAAAGCTGCAGCAAACGGAGTCCTGCCACCCCCAATGACACACTCGCCGCACAACACCATCACAGCTAGCCGTCGACCAAAAGCCTATGCTCATCCCGGAGACCCGCCAGAAACAGCAACGCCCAAAAATTGCGGACAGGGAGAGGAGAGAGGGACTTACCGCCACAAATCGGAGTTCCACCAGCGACTGAGGGAAAGACACCAGGCCAGACGCCGAACGGGCAGTACGCCACCACCGACCGAAGCCCCATCGACCATCGAAGACTCGACCTCCAATCTTGAACCGACCACAGCAGCACGGCGACGCGCAGCATCAGGAGTAGCCAAGCGGTAGAGGACGACCCCTAGCCGAGACTCCGCCGACGCCGAGGAAGGCAAATCGACCGTCAATTTGGACTGAGCAAGTGGATTAGGTTTGAGGGTTTTCTTGGGTTTCACTTTGACTTACCTTTTTTTAACTTCCCTAATATAGGTTATTGTTAAATTTTTTTTTATATGATATTAAATTCTAGACATTTTTCTAGTCATGCCGTGTCAATTTTTTATCCAGGGTACGGATAAAAAAGGACCAAAATTGATGAAATTGACAAGTTATTGGACCCAACTTGAAAGTGGTCAATAACGGAGTGGATTTTTGGACAGTGGCCAAATTATAGGGCCAATTTTGAAATTTTGCCCATTTGAAGGGTGTGGGAAAACAAGTGTGATACTGTATAAAGCAACGATACTGTATAAAGCAATGTCGAGGACCCTCCAAATTATAGGGATTTTGTGTTTTTACGGTTTATTTTTCTGGTGGTGTGATTTATTTGGGGAAAGAAATGAAATTTTCGTGTTGGGAGATAGGGAGAGAGAGGATAACAACTAGTGGGAGGTTTGGAGGTGAGAGGGAGTATTAAAATAGACATAGTGCCATTGTAGATGCTCTTAGTTACATATAATACTCAATAGTTTCCCGCGCAGGAGTTGCTTTCATTCCAACACGTCATGAAAGGATAAGATCGAACAGTTAGAATTGAAACTCAGTCATGATTTATGAGATGTAAAAGGGCTATTTGCAAATTTTAAAGTGTAATGGCATGAATGGTATATTGGAATGGAATGAATTGAAGAATAGAATGAATATGAGAATGAAATGAAACAAGTTTTTTCATTGATGTGTTTGGTATACAGAATGAATAAGACAATGGAATGACATTATCATTTTATATTATCATTTATCGCTATTTCATAAAAAATAAAATAATATTTTTGTTAATCTTATTTTTTTCATTTATGGTAATATTAAAATTATTTTATTTCTTAACAAAATATACTATATGTTAATAAATATATTTTTGTATTGTTACACTCATATATTATATAATAGATTGGTGAATCGGAAATGCTCCCATGGTCACGGTGGGCACATGTTAATATGCTCACCGCTTATGTGGCATGGACACATTGGTGATGTTAATATGTTAAAAAAAATACATCACCAATGTATGCATGCCACATAAGCGGTGGACATATTAACATGTGCCCACCGTGGGCATGGGAGCATTTCCCATTGGCGAATTGTGTATTCATATACATATTAACTGATAAGAACATATCATTACATAAACTCCTCTAAGCACATGTGGTCGAATATAATTTTTTATATTATGACTTAATTAATAAATAAATATATATTATATATGATGTATAAGAATAAAATAATATCTTTTTAACTTATTTATAAATGTATTTTTTAATCTTATTTTTATATAAGTATTTAATATATCTAATTAAAATATGAACAATAAATAAAAAATAAGTTTTTAAATTTTTATTTGAAATTTATTATTTTATTTAATACAGTTTAATCATGATTTATAATATATATTATATATTTATTTTTTATTAGTATTTGTTAACTCTATTTTTTGGAAAATTGATTCCTACAAATATAAGAATGAGAAAACCTTGCATTAAATATAAAATGACTAATCCTATGCAGATGGATTTTGCAATTTCCATTGGAATGACCATTTCTTTTAAAAAAAAATATATACCAATCATAGCAAAAGTAATGAGTAAGTGAATGATCAATATATTCCTATGTCTCATACCAATCATGCCATAATAGTTATGAAGAACTGGGTTGAACACAATAATATAAGGCCGAAAATGATAACTGGGCTATTCCAAAACATTAAATCCTATTTGTGCAAAACAAAATAGAACAGCTTATGGCGGGATTGTTTATCAAATAATTCATTCAAAATGAATCTTTTTAGTTAATCATAGGTAATTTTAGAAAAGATAGTATGGTTAGTTGTTACCGGTTATGTATTCTATTT